ATATATATATATATATATATGCATACAATTGCGGTATAATTAGTTTAGATTTCCTTCATATAACAAAGGCACACAGGAACTATTGCAAACGATTAAACCTACGTAAAAATTTATTATCTGATATGCCAGACCAAAATGACGTCAGCTCACGAGATAAGAGCATCTCATTATCGGATAATTGTGCTGAAAAGTGATCAAACAATTAAATAAGGAATGTAAACTGTAATTTTAGTTCCCCACTACAAACTTAGTTTGACTGCCCAAAAAATACTATCTGAAAATTGCAAAAGTAACCTGATTCCAGAAGAATTGTATCAGTATCCTTTATTTGTTCTTCGTAAAATCGACTTAACCACAGCTGGTCAGTTGAACTTCGAAGCATTAAGGCAAGTTGAGTACGAATGAAGAAAGACTGTTTTCGACATATCTTGAAACCGGAATCAGATGTAGTCGAAAATTTTTCAAAAAAGCAAACTCGACGATACAATCTGTTGAAATAAAAAGATTATTCCGAATAAGAAATTCTTAAATGGAAGTTGTGCTACATCATTTGAAAGTTCAATCAGTGCTCTCTAGAACTAGGTACACTTTATTCTCAATTATAATAACTGCTCGCAATTCTTAACAGACAAAAATATTCAAAAGCAACTTTTTCAGACTAGGGCTTCTGATTAGACAGGTTTCGAGAACGAGTAAGTGTTTAAGATTAATACCTAACTACTAAATTTTTAGCCCTTTAATAATTAGCCGCGCGATGTTCTGCGCCAAAACTATTTTAAAACCTCATCCTAGTTGTCGTCTTGTATTTTGATCATGATAGTTATGTATTTATAGTTTCATGCCGTTAAATAATATTTCCTAGACGAGGAATGAATTTATTGAATTCAAATAAATAGTCGTCCCTAGTGCTAGTTACACTTAATTTTGTGTATTTTTTATTTGCTTTTACCACATTTTAATAACCGAACACAAACTCAAAAAATGAGCCGGTGACATCATTTGGATCAATAACTGTTGTAGGCGAAAAATTAGTAGCAATTCTTAATGAAATTACATTGAGCTCATCAATATCAACTAAATGCCAAGATGATGATTTCAATGAATCCATCAATTTAGGCATTGAAGCACGGCAAATCTAAAATGATATGAACACAAAGCAATAAATTCCACTGCATATTCTGTATAATTTTTTCAAATAAACTTCTCCAGGCTTTGTGTATGAGACTGTTCTACTATCATTGGAAACCCGTGAAATTTCTATCGTGTTGCAATAGTAATTAAAATAGTATTCAAACGGAATAAAACGTATCTATTAAATATGTACGACTTAAAACATATCTATAATCCGGATAAAGCTTTACTGAAAACCGCTTTGATTTTTTCCTAACTTCTACGCATCTTATTTCATTCAAAAGCAAAGTAAGATACAGTAGAGATAGTATCACCATGAAGTTATTTTGGAATGAACATTTTTGGCATATGCTAGTAAACGTTGAGAACATTACAGATTTATACAACTTCCTCACTTTTTTCAATAAAAAACCACAAACTAACTGAATAATTAGCTGGCCGACTGACACAACTTGCCAATACAGAAAATAACAACGAGTAGAAAGTACGATTAGCATCTACGGGTTGATTTGCCTGAAAATGAAATCGCAAAAAATTTCCTGACTCAAAATAAGAGTGAAACTAAAAATACGCTCAAATGAAGATAAAAAAATTCTTGCGACCGCCCACGCCAATTAAATATTTTTTCTATCATCGTCTAAATTGCCCGACACCACAATAACCAAACAGACTCAATAAAATGATTAGGAATGATGGTCAAAAAACAGAACTGAGACAATATAAGCAAAAATACCTGATGTTGTATAAGAGGTAGCCATGGTATACGAACAATTATTTGAGTAATCAAAGGAGCGCTTTCTGGCGGACCTTCAATCATGATTTTGTTCATTAAAGCAAGATCATGTAAACTTGGCCAAAAAAAATGCCAAGGAATGCTAATAAATCGACCTTCCTGAAAGACTTTAGGTTTCAAGAATCATTCAGCTAAATATAAGATCTCTAACAACCGAAAGAAACCAAATAAAGACTTTTATTTTTCGTGCAGTGTGATATTTGAAAGCATATAAGAACAAAGCAGAAGGAAACTAACAGATCTTTTTACAAGAGATTCTAAAGAATTAACCAGACTATGACAGTAATTATATAAACGTATACATAAAAACCTCTAGAAGTTTGTCAAAATGATACACGTTTAACAAGAAATAAAACTGAATTATAATTAATTTAATCATTGAAAGGAAACGTTAAATGCCAATGAACAGTAACTTACGATAATTTTGTGCACATGGGAGCCACCACCGGTAACAAATGCTAGCTTCTGACTGTAATAACGCCAGAACAACGTTACAACATTTTCAGAACCAGGAGGAAAACAAGCATCGTAGAGCAGATGAATCTGTTCAATAAGTGAAACAAAATTATCAAGGACCACAGAAAGAACTTCGGTATCAGATGGCTTCCATGGTGGTAACTTCCAATGAACTGATTCCAAAAGGGGGTTAAATACTTGTACACAATATTCAAAAATTCTACGCAAATCTGAAGGTAATGCAGCTAAGTTAAATACATTTGCAGAGAAAGAGCAATCAAAAACCACTCAACATTGTTCAAAACTACCACTGAAAAAGGAAAGTTTTATTCTGAGTACTTTAAAACAGTAAACACAATATATTCTGCTACACTTTTACAGATGTAGTTAATAAAGTAAATTATGCTGGCTTAGACAACAAACGTAATGAAGTTCTAAATAATGAAAAAATTAGCTTTAAGTGCAATATATTGAAGAAAAACAACAATAACAAACCTGATTCTTGCTTTGTGTTGGATTGTTCAGGATCAAATAATAAGGATGCAAAAGTTTGTAAAATAAATCTAGCTATATGCAAAACTTTTGGCAGATAAATACCCCAGACTCTATATAACTCTATTGATAAATCTTTTCTAGACTTCTTGAATCGTGAAGAGATTACTTCAATTGCTGCTGCTGCCTATAATTCATAATCTTAGTTATCAATGCACGCAATAAAAGTTTGTATAATTCATTTTGCTGCAATAGAAAGATATTTCTGGAAATGTCAAAACGATAAATAACATGCGATGCAGAGAAAAGTGAACTTGCAAATGGTTATAATTCCAAGACTCATTTATTAATCCATTCATATTTAGTTATTTTATGATCCTTCATCGACATATTTCAAAACAACCGAACATACACATTTGAAAATATCATGCTTAAATTTAATGATGTCACGAAAAATATATATTTGAAACATACAGTTGCAATATCAACAGCAAGTGCAGGATTTGAATTTTTTGCATTTGCAATGCCTGAAAGCTTCTTGATAATCTCATCAAAAACTTGTACTGGTGAGCTTCGTGAGTCACAGGCTAGAAAATGAGGATTAAATTACACATATAATCTTTTATATGACTAAAACACTACTTTGTATTATTTTTTTAGCATAAAAAGAATGTGCAATGATGTCTTATCAAAACCCCGAAATAAAGCTACTATAAAAGTCTCTTCAGCTCCTTATAGTTCCAGTGGCTGATGACAACAGGAGTATGGGAAAATCTTGTCTCACCGAATAAAATAATATCGTGCCGAATTTGTTTTTCAAACAATTTTTAAAATAAATATTAAAAAATGTTTCATACCGGAGAGCACATATTCTAGGCCTTGAGCGAAATTGCTTGGAAAATGGTAAAATAAAGCACAGATAAAATGATTAGAGCAAATATTATACAGCGATGATGTGGTATCAGATATTGAAACAAGATTTTTAAATGCAGCAAGCATAAACTGGGAAAACTCTAGTGGAGATAACCTATAAAGATGAAAGGAAGAATTTACACTAGTGGGATATAAAAAATTGAAAATATAAACATATCTCACATAAGGATCTGGTACAAAATAATATGAATAAGTAATTGCAATGTAACTAATTATAAAAATATAAACCTTGACCATATCAAAGCAAAATGTTGTTGAA